ATGCAGCGGGTGCTGAGCAATTGTATTGGGCATCACTGCTGGCTATTGGTGTTTTCTTTCCCCTTTTAGTTTTATATTCTCTTCCCTTGTTATTTCTCTTATCATTATTATTAGTAGTAGTAGTATTTTTATATTATACTTCAGTTACAGGACTGTTCGTATCTCAACCCATGGGGTTACATTCTTTCAGTTCTCCTCCCCATTCCACCTAGAGGGTGGGCGGGAAAGGAGGGGTGAGCAAATGGCTGTGTGGTTCTGAGTTACCAGATGGGCTTAAACCACAACAGCCATGTGGTGAAATCTGGGTTTTGTAAGAATATGAAAAGTGATGCAGAACTGGAACATGAAGGCAGTATATGTAAGGTGGAGGGAGAAGTGAAATTTATCTAACCTGAATTTAGATTCAGGACACTTAGAGAGTGAGACAGAGAACTTCCCACTTTCAGTGTGATTTTCTAAAAGACTTTGGACATTAATCCTACCAATAATACTGGAGTGAAAGGCTTGGGAGTTGTATCCTCTTTAGAGAGAGGTATAGCTGTAGTACTTCTGCCTAGGGGCTGCTGCAGCTGAAGTCAAAGCAGAAGACAAATCTGTGAACACAATTAAGGAAGCTCTTTAGGAAAAAAAATTCCTTGTAGTGGAACAACAACTGAAAATTGTTCTATCTGCAAATGCAGATATTTTAGACGTTTTTTGTTTCTGACAACAGAGATATTGGGATTTTTTGGTAGGTTCAAGTCACTGTAGCTATTAGAGATGTAGTCACTGCCAAACTGGATTGAAATTCCACGGTCCCTGTCTCCAAGGTGAAACTGCCAGGAAGATCTAGTGAGAACCAGGGGACCAGCAGGCCAGGCTGTGGTCATCAGGTTTCTGTGGTGTAGCAGGGACCTGAGTACCACAGGGGCCTCTGCCGCTGGAATAGCACTTGCCTTCCCCTGTGTTGCTGCATTTGTCACTCAGGAGAGGCCTGGTGAAGAACTCCCTACTTTGATTTATGTCCTAACTGGTCACATGCCCGTGGTTGCTCTTGTATGCAGTGTATTCTGAAAGATGCAGTTCCTTTAGATCTCCCTTGACATAGCTGACAGTAGTAACTACCATATTCAACAGAATATGGAATTTTAAATACTTAATTGACCATAAGCTAACTAGCTGTATTCACTTAGTCTTTGCAGTTCAGCCTGTTGTTTTGTGACCTACAAGGTCTTCTCTCTCACATCAATGCTGCTGCTGTCATTTGGCTTTGGGCACATTATTTCAATAATGCTGTAACATGAGGTTCAGTCATTCTACCATTCAGTAATTTTTGTCTGCCTGAGAAATTCACAAGAAAACAGCCCAATTATTAGACATTGGACCCTTCTAATCCTAATAATTCATGTCCTATTATAGCACCAGTGCTGCTTGAGACAATTATTCCCCTCACAGACAAGCATAACATAATTTTCATGAAGAATCAGCTCAGAAGACTTCAGATAATAATGCTGTGTACATTTGCAAAAGTTCCAATGTCTCTGATATCAGCAAGTCTCCTGTTCAAGTTCTCTTACCAAGTGCACTGGAACCTATTAATTCTAAGCAAATGACTGCCTATCCAGGCATTTAGGTGTCTGAATTATGGTTTGGATTACCTGTGTAATGATGAAATGTAGTCTCCTGTCTCACATACACCTCCTTAAGGAGCCCGGCTTTCGCTTGGGGACTACGTGCTGGATAAAATTCACTCCTAAAATAAGGAACAATTTGGTGCCTGTGCCTAAATTAGGGACTAGCAGTGGTTGCCAGCCTCAGTACCTCAATATTTGAAAGAAGCATTTTTACAAAATCAAGTATTGAAGCAGTTAGTTTTCTTTTCCTTCTCTACATACGGCTTTTAATACTTTTGTCTAAGATCCAGTCTGTTACGTTACTGTGGCTGCTGTGGCAAGAAGAGGATATATTTTTTTTTGGTAGTTAATTCCAGTATCTTGCAATTTTATTTGTTGCACTGATTCTGTGGTCATTGGATACTTCTGGAATAAATTTTATAACAAGATCTGTTAAATGCATAAACAGTTTATAAGCACATTGTGAATTGCATCCTTATACTGGTATTCCTGATATGAACGTAAAATGCCTTTGTATTGCTCTGTTGTCTGCATTTTTTTTTCCTTTAAATCACATTAACAAGGGATTTAAAAAATCGTAAATTGTAATTCAATTCTGGTATTTACTGTGGATCAGATAATACTGTAAAGGTATTCCTTCTGGTTGAAAAGCTGATATTGAAGCAAAATCAAATAGAGGATGTGTACTAAATAAAATTCAATAATTATGCTATGGAAACATGTTAATTTTATGTGGAGAAATGATTAGGATAATTGGTTTATCTGCAGACTTGATTACTATATGGAATTAAGAAAACATGAGCCAAAACAAAATGTTTATTTAACTCTTATGAAATCATTCAATATTCAGATAATTTCTTAGCGTACTGAATCATCATGAGAAAGTTAGAGGTCTGTAATTTTGCAGACATAGGCTAAGCTGAATATTTAAAAGAACATATTCCTTATTTGGTTTAAATCAGGTAACCAACATTGTCATTTATTGGCCTCTGAATTTTTGCCAGACATCTTACAAGTTCCAAAGTGATGTGTATTGATTTTTTTTAAAAGCATAGTGGAGAAGTACTTCAAGACATAATTATTTCAAAATGGAAACAATTTTAAGAGGTCAGCAAGGTAACAATTAGAAATGTTCTTAACTATATGCTAGAAACAATGACTGTTTTGAAATTTGCTAACAGCAAAGCACTTACTTAATCTTTAAAGAGTTGAGAGACACTTTCATCTGAGGCTTTTGCGACTATTTCAGTTTTACCAGCTTTTCTAGTGATAGCAGCTGAAATGTGCAGAATATCTTGTATTAGACTGGTAACATGAAATTGACATAGCTTATTTTCCTGTTTTCAAGATGTTATTATAAAATAAGTTAATGTTAATTTTACATACAGCATTCTTTTTATACCTACTGGTAAACACAAGTGAAAGAAAATTTGATTTTCCAACATGCAATTTAAATCTGCTTCTTTTAGGACTTTTAGAACCTGAAATTATTGTTATCAAAATAAAAAGGAAATGCTTATTTTATATAAATTCACACACCAGGTGTTTAAATCAGCAGAGGCTGGTTGATTTACAGCTTCTGTGACTGTGACTTTACATTTTAATGGGAAGTGGCATTGCTTTTCTAACGATAACCAACTGTCCCTATCAGAAACAAGTTACAGTAGAGTTCATGCCAGCGAGAGTGAAAATTGATAGCAATTGTGTAAGATGAAATGAAGTTGAGTAAACTGTTCCTTGAGTTTGACATTTTTACTTGTGAGGACTTTCAATATGTTAGCAATGGTAACCTAAATTCCAGCTTCCTTTACCTAACTGTTGGATGTATCTGGTTTAATTCATTAGAAGCATTATTATGATTTAAATGAATTCAAAAGATACTTTTCATTGCTACGCCTAATCTGTTTTTAAATAGGATTTTATTCCTTATGGTTGTGTGAGGGGTAAGGACTGGACCACCAAATGGTGTGTAACTTTTCTCCTTGTATTTTAAATGTTCCACCCGCTCCGGCACTGACTGCAAGCCTGAGCACAAAACTTAGATTCAAACAGGATCACAGGTCCAGACATGGCAGAGTTCAAGAGGTTATTTCCCCCAGAGTTGTGGTTGGGCAATAGACAGCAAGGCCAGAAGCAATAGTGTCACCCTGAACCAGTTTTGGATTGCTCTTCACTGCAGCCAAGGATGGCAGATTTAGCTCACTGCTCCATCTTGGTTTGTTACTAATGAGAAACAGGCAACACCACAGAGAGAAACTGCAAAAGCCACAGAGAGAGAACCTTGAAGAAATCAGAGGGATTTTTATGGATTATACTGATGTTCAATTAAGTGGTAATATTTTGTTTCTGTGGAATAGCTGTGTTTGCAGTAAATGAAATATAAATAAACTTTGAGCAAATGCTTGTCAGACATTTGAAATATTAATTCTAATGCCTTATATTTTAAGGGTGAATAGATCTATGCACAACTTCAGATTGTCACTTATATTGGAGAAAATCAATACAAGTTTTAAATCAGAGAGAAACAGAAAATGAGTTTATTTCGTTATTTTCTTTTTTGTTTTTGTGTGTGTGCACAGATATTGAGAAGGACCTAGCACTGTGGGAAGAAGCAAGGCTCTCAAGAAGCCCTAGTATCCAACATCATAGTTTAGTTACATCTGACCATCAAGGCAATCTTCAAGCTACGCAGGGCCAAAATCCAAGGCCTCAGGTGACAACTCAGATGGGGAAGAGCATTCAGCTCCAAGGAAACAAATCACCGCCTCTGCCCACTAACAGCAGAACACAGGTCTCCAGTGTTGCAAACAGCAGGCCTCCAACGCCTGGTACACAAACCAACAGGCCATCAACTCCAGGGAGCAGACCTGTGACCCCAAATAGCTTGCTGTCACGGCCTCTTACCCCTGGCAACCAAGCAAATAGGGAAGGCTTCATTAGTATGCAAAGAAGCAGATCTTTGACATCTAAGAGCCAAATGGGGAGGACCCTCAGCGCTGCTTCAGGGCTTTCAGTGCAAATGAGTGGAGACATTGTTGGAACTGTCACTACTCAAAGAAGCAGTTTATCAGAAGTAAGATTTTCAATTTAATGTTTTTGCTATGTTTAAGAGCTGCTATAATGTGAAGACTAGATTGTGTTTTATGTTGACGTAACATCAGTATACCTAATGTAACTTACTACTCTGAAAATAACTTGAAACATAAAGAGAAAATTAGCAAGGAAATGCTGCTCAGCTTTGAGAGGTACGGATTAGAGAATATTAGGGTTATTACAGGAATCATACTGAAACACTTATGCCCCTCAAATCTTCCATGAATTCTGTAGGGTTTTGCCTGTACAATGTATGGGAGTTTTATTAGCCGTGTGGTTTCTAAGAGTTGTGTACCTCTGGAATATTAAACACAACTTTATCTTATCTTTATGATTCCAGGGCATTTTTTTTCCTGCAGCACTGGCAATACATAATATTTCCTTGGTCTGCTTTTTTCTGTCACTTTTTGGACACATTGGAATAATAAGTTAGGCATCACTGAGTGAACAAATTTTCTGAAACACAAAACTGAAGTGCAATAAGAAAATGTCCAATATCATTGAATCACTGTCTAGTACTATGTGCATGTTAACTAGGCTGATTCAGAGCATAAAAACTTCCTGTCCCATATTAATCACTTTTATAGGATTAGTCTTTAAAACAAGGCAGAAAGTTAAAGTACCTTGTCAATTTTGAGTGGGATACTCCTCTGCTAACTTTAGCTGCCTTAAAGATAACTTCGGTACGTAGGCAGTGGAAATAAAAGCACCTGTGAAAGAATAGCCCTGCTGTCTATCTCAGATACATGCCTTACAAAGGTGAGTTTCTTCTCAGGAAATGCCAGTCCTTCTATACTGACTTGAGAAGGACATATATGTGCAGATTGCTAGTTTTTTCATGGTGGATTAAGTTGGATCCCACCATTTATTACCATTCTCTTTGTAATCAATTTGTCAAAGCCTGGAGAGTTTTTTCCGAGAGTGAAAAAAATATCATACTTTTAGATAACTGTTTCTGAGAAATATAATTTGTTCTAAAATTCTGTTGGATGTGACACAACACAATGTATTATCAGTCTAATGACTTCTTAAAAAATTAAAAAGATGTTGTTTCTAGTAATATTGCTTAGAGATGGTTATAGAAAAATTAGAGACTCGATACTTGGTATAATCTTGCAGTTAAGTATATGGCCACCATTATTTAGTATGAAAGGAAGGAAATGAGGCACAGATGACTAAAACTGAAGAATATGTGGAGGAAATCTTACTTAAGTTTGGTGGTGGAAAATAAATCCTCATTTTGGTGTTTGAGTGGCAGTGCTCTAATCCCATCACTCAAGCTACATCTTCACCTAGAATTGGATATTCAACTTAAGGATATGAAAACTGAAGGTGACTATAGTTCTGTTGAAAGTATCTTCACTGACAGTTGATGACAGTTGGTACATTTTCAAACCAGAAGTTTTCCATGGAAAAAAAAATACGTAATTGAAACAAATTTCATTTTTGACAAACTGAACCCCTCTGTCTCCTGTTTGGAGGGGTGGGTGTGTTCATGGATCAGAATTTTTCTCATGTACCAGAAAATGAGAATTTAAATTCATTTTAAACTAAAAATGTTTGGAAGAAATTAACTGTTCGTTGTTTCCTACTAAGTACTTCACTCCTATTTTTCTTTCTTTCTTTTTAAGAAGTCGTGCTCTTAACTGATCCGTAGTCATGGGATGCCGACTAAAATTATTGTATAGACTCCTGAAAGTGCCATCTAATGAGCACTTCATCTACACCAAGGGACATCCAGTCTGTCCATCACTTCTGATCTTTCCTGTAACAAGGCAGGCAATAAAAAATGCTTTCTTCCACAGCCTTTCTGAAGTTACAGTAATAATAGCAATGAATCCCATTTAATTTGCTGTGACTTGTTACTTCTGTTTGCCAAATCCCAAGCTTTGCTAATAGCTCTTACAGTGTGTCCTGTTATACTTTTATATATGTATATTTATGTCTCAAGAACTTTAAGAAATAAGCAATATTATTACCTTGTTTTACAGTTAGAATAGCATGTCTAGTTTCATCCAACAAGCCCACTGTAAAGCTGGTGTTAAATCTCATCATTTCTATGCAGGGTCTTATCCTCTGTGACAATTTCTTTTCTTACTCTTTGCTCACTGGGTACAATAGTATGTTGGCTGCTAATGACCCAGCTCAAACCCTATTTATCCTTTCCTGACAAGCACACGTGACCTTTGACTTAATGGAAACTCATCTTGGGACTAGCTCTGCTTCCAAGGGCAAAACTGCTAATATGACACATTCATACAAAAGATCTTCCTCTGCCATACTGTAAAGGCGCTTGGATGTCAGAAAGTAGCTGATGGAGGTCTGGCCAATCTGCTTCTCCCAGGGCTCATCTTTGGAGTATTATACTAGAAGCTTTGGAAACTGTTTTAAGCTATCCTTGCCCACTGAAGTTTCTGGTCACTTAGAGAAGTGGGTTTATACAGAACATACCCAAGACAAATCTCTGTCCAATGACAATTTTTGCTGTCTTAGAGGTGTCCCCTATTTGTGGCCATGTGATTGTATTTTCTTGTGTCACGGTTTCTCTCTGACCATGGAGACAAATTTTAAAAAGTCAAAGGTGGCCTGGGATAAGAGAAGTTCTTACTTTGTACTTTGACAGATCACAAACATGTAAAACTCAAGGCTGATACTGTAAATGATTTTGCAGCTTTCACTGTAGGTTTTGTATCCTCTTCCCGTTTAAAACCAGTAAAATAAAAAAGGGAAATTGTCTTTATTCTTCTTAGCCTTATTGTGTGAACTGTGAATTTCCACTAGATGTGAATGCACCGTGGTTATCTTACCAATCCTACAGAAGATTCTATGATGAGATTTTGCAAATAATTTTTCTGCCTTACTCTTAGGTAGTGGTAATGGAATTAACCAGTACAGACTTGAAACATATTTGATAAGAATAAGTCAGTTGAAAAGGATGTCATTGCTGACTACAAGGAGCATGTTTTACCATAAGGAGCTTGAATTAAAGAATTCAGAATCTGCATGGGTTTACACAGTGTGATGTCACTTTTTTATTTACCAGGAATTTTAAATTATCTCTCAATGCCTTATGTATGTTTCCTAGTTTGTAGTGTGCTTCAAACCAACATAGTAAGTCTAAAATGCAAAAATATTACTGATAAATATAATTCAGAGTTTTAGTAATGTTCATGCTGTAACTCAGGATGATTTAATCTTGTTTTAGTACAAATCTTAAATAATTTGGCAAGTACTTAACATATCAGCTGTTAAGAATGTTTAGGGGTTTTTTAATGCTCAAGACTTATAATGATGGTGATTTTGTGGATGAGTTCCTGCCTCTTGGCACACATAATATTACAAAGTTCTAACAGATGTGTTTTATTATCTGCTCTGTTCAAGAGTGAATGGAATTATAGCTAAGAAATGCTACCTAGAGAAATAGTTTTATTATCTCTATAAAACTAATAAATCAGGGTTCCAAATCATTTGGCAGAAATACTTCTATGGATTACCTTATCCTTTGGTGTTTTGTATAAATTGACAAGGGAATGTTGAATCCTGCTTATCTCTTTAGGATGGATTCCATTAAAGTGACACAATTGCGTGATAGTTATCAATAGCTGTTGAGATGAAAATATTTCTGACTCCCTTCTTTGCCATATAATTTTCCGAACACATGGAATTTTCCAATCACTTTATTTATCCAGATAGTTTAAAGTGGTATTCAGTAATCTTTATTGGTCTGTCATAGTTAACAGCAGGAAATTTCAGGTTATTTTAATATAGCATTGATTAGCACAAGTTTTTTTTCCTACTTACTGGAGTATAGAGCATAACTTGATGTGATGAGGACTCTCTTTTGGGTCAGATCCTTCCATTCTGTTCTGCTGCCTGATCAGTTCTTTGCTCTGGGATTTTGAAAGATTAAAAAGCATGTTGATCAGTGCGGAGAGCCACTCTCTCCTACTGCAAGAATCCTGTTCCATGAAGCAAAACACTTCACCCAGTTCAGTGCTGTGGTCAGCAACCTTCTTGAACATGTGAAATGGCAGTTCATGCATTAAGGCCTGGAGCTCCTCCCTGAGCTTAGTGTTGGGCCATGGCAGCAGTCTCTGTGGATTTTTTTGTCACAGATTACTAATGGAATCAATAATTTATTCCCAGAGAATTACATCTTGATCGAACAGCCTTTGGTCTCCAAGAACTGATTAAAAGAAGCCTCGTTTCTGTTTATAAACCAGGTAGATAGCCTGACAATGAAAATAATGCTGTAGCATTGTGCAATACAGTTTAACTTAGAACATGCGGATTCTGGTTTTTAGCTGGTGTAAAAGAAGACAGGGCTATTACCCTTCTTTGTTTTCAGATACTTACAAGAATATGGCCAGTAATTTTACGATATCTGACCAATGCTTAAGTTCTCTTTTAGAGACTAGACTTGCATGTTTGAAATGCTTTGGAAAATAAAATGGATTCCAGTCTTATCTCTCACCTTGAATATTGCAAAGGAACCTGTCAAAGTATTTTATAAGTCTGTGTATGTATATGCTCACATACATATATGTGAGTACGGAAAAATATTTTTATATACGTGCATATATACATTATATAAAAATAAATAGATTATTTTTTTTAATATAAAAATCAGGCAATTGTAAAACATTTTAGAAAGAATATATTCGGCTGCATATGGATTCTTAACTGTGTAAAACATTTATATTTTGATGCTTTGAGTTTTATGGTATCTTGGAGACAAAAGTTTCCATAGCATTTTTCCTTCCCTGGCTTTCTCCTTCTCCAATAAAACCATAGGTTCTAAATCAAGTTTCAGGTCCTTGTTCCTCCTAGATTGGAGACAGTGAAAGTTCTGACAAATCAAAACCTTATTTAAGCAAATTGTGCATGACATGTCTAGACATAATTCAAGACCTGCAGGGACAGATGAAATACCTGCATTAAGATTTTGCTCTGGTGCTGCATTTCTTAAGATGAATATGTATATATCTATGGCTATAGCAGATAAATAGCTAAAGAAACCTTTGGGGTTTTTTTGGAATAGATAAATAAATAAGCATTAAATTAAAAAAAAATCTAGGGAGCCTGCATATCCTCTACATTCTGCTATTATTTCACAGCAAGATATTTTTTATTAAAGGCTTCCTCCTCTCTGTTTAATTGAGGCTAGAGTGTTTGCTACAGTCTGCATTTATATAGAACCATTCTCTGTAATTTTATCTAAAATAGATCTGTTTGTGGCAGGATGAATTCTTACAACAGCTTCAGCTTGCTCATCAACCTTGGATATTGCCGAGTGACACAGAAAGTGAAGGAGTGGAAGGTGACCAAGACAAATGTAAGTATATTTGTTAGGACCAGATAATATGTCAAAAACCCTCGAAATTTTGACTTCTCTTTTTCGTGTCTTCAAATCCTGTGAAGATGTCATGCTGCTCACAGGAGCTTTTCTTCTAAGTACCAATTACTCATTTGTTTGAGGACTGAAATTTAGAGGATTGATTTACATAAGCTTTCCTACAGTCACTGAACAATGACAAAATGATCACAGACCAGTTCACTTAGCTAAGTGAAACAATTTGTTCTGATGTGTTAAAGTAGCTGTTCCAAAGAAGTAGCATGAAATTGAAATAGATACTCTGTTTAGTAAATCTGTATTGACCCACAAAAAAAATCTCCAAACAAAACAACACCATAAAAACCCCAGTAGCTCTGAAGAAAACCTCAGTGGCTTCCTCCTCAGGCTTCTGACTGCATTACCTCTATTTTGCCTGCATTCCTTTGAATTCTTCTGTATGGGAAAAAAAATTTCTTAATCACACAAGTAATCCTTAATATCCTACATTCTTTGAAGCAGTTGTCTAATCATGAAAGCAAAGGTCAGAAGGATCATAACCTAAATGACAGACAAGCAACAACAAGCAACATGCTCTAAGTTACAATACATTCAAACTGTAGCAAGTTCTGTCTGCCTACCAGGTACTTGTAAACAACCTTTCTAAAAATGCTACATGTTTTGCTTTTTTTCTTTTAAAATTCACAGCAGTTTTGGGATCTGCAAGGGTGAATATGCAAACCATATCCTAACACATTTTAGGTAATGTACATGAAAAGAACGTATGATTCAACCAGCATGTTTAGTAAACTTAATACTTTCTTCTAAAACTGCTTTAAACATGCAGAGTTAAGAAAAAGCTGATTTCTTCACAGAATGGTACAGTTGTGTAAGGGATTAATGATTCATAATAAAGAGAATATGTTTTTAAATTGTGCCACATAAAAAAGGGAGAATTTTCTATTCATATACCAGTTTCACAAGTCCATACATAGCCCAGGGTTTGAATATGAAATTTCAATTTGCACAGTGAGATCCTGAAAAGCATGTGCCAGTTTTTTTGTAACACTAGTACAGTGTTAAAATGAAGTTCTGTGTCCAGCTGATTTTGATCCAAAGCCAGTAAAGTTCAGTTTGACTTGCGCCTGAACCTTTCAGTTATCTTTGGGCTGAATCTCACCTTAAGTGGCCCAAGGGAGAGCCCAGTACTTGCCTTTTCTCTGCATGTGAATTTTCTTCTCTATTTTCTGTAATGAATTTACAATCCCACTAATGTTGGTAAGGCTGGCACATAATTAGCACATAGACCAGTGCTAATTATGTGATCAGGGAGACTGATGCTTCAGAACACATCAGATGCACAGCATGTTTTTTTTTATAGCTGCTGCGCCTGAATTGCACAGGTGTGGGGAATTCTGAGCATCCAAGATCCTATGCTGTAGGATTCCAAGAATCCTGGTAGATCATTGTCACTGCCCAGTGTGACAGAGTGGTAAATTATAGATAAAAGTTTCAGTTCTACCACCAGATTTGTAGAGATGACCGTTGCCTAAATAATAACAATTTTTTTCCTGAATCTGATGGCAGCAAGAACAAAGGAGGAAAAAAGGTAGCTGTAAGCTATAGTTACTGACCAAAAGTTAAAGCATGTTGTTAAGAGCATTATCCAACTGCGTCATTAAACACTGATGGTTTTGGGGCATTGACCATCTCCCTAGGAAGTCTGTTCAGTATTTGACTGCCCTCTTGGTAAAGAAGTGCTTCCTAATGTCCAGCCTAAACCTCTCCTGGATTAGCTTTGAACTATTCTTATGCATGCTGTCACTGCATCCCAAGGAGAAGAGCTCATCTCTCCACTTGCCCTCCTTAGGAAGCTGTAGAGAGCACTGAGGTTGCAATTAGCCTCATCTCCAAACTAGGCAAACCCAAAGTCCTTAGCCACTTCTCAAAGGACATTCTCATCATCCCTTTCACCAGCTTTGTTCCCCTCCTCTGTTGCCCTGCATATTCAAGGACCCTTCTCACTCTTAAACTGTGGGGTCCAGAACTACACACAGTATTCAAGATGAGGCTGCACCAATGCTGAATACGGCAGGATGATCACTTCTTTTGCCCAGCTGGTGATGCTGTGTTCAATGCACCACAGGATGTGGTTTGGCCTTTTGGCTGCTAGGACATACTGGAGACTCACATCGGGCCTGCTGCTGACCAGCACCCCCACATCCCTTTCTGCAGGGCTGATTTCCAGCCACTCCTCTCCCATTTTATGCTTGTTCCTGGCATTACTCCATCCTAGGTGCAGGGTCCAGCATTTGGACTTGTTAAATTTCATCCCATTAACCAAATGTCTTATGAAAATTCAGAAAAACTGCATCCCCCACCTACCCTTCATCTACTAGGCATGTGACCTTACCGTAGAAGGACATCAAATCAGTTAAACAGGACTTTCCTTTTGTGAACCTACGTTGACTGTGCAGTTAACTGTAGTGTAGTTAACTGCTCCACCCTTTACAGTAGTTCATTGTTTCTTCTGCTATAACTAAAGGAGTAGAACAAAAGCAGAAATTACAGAACTGCGACTGATGACAGAGAGAAGCTGCCAATTCCTAGTTTCAAAGTGGAGAGACAGTAAGGGGCCTGGCATACTTGCTGATGCCAGTGCTTGTAGGCAGAGCAGCTGGCAAGTTTACACGTCGTTTTTCACCCTAAAGTTAATAAATCTGTGCGGATGTTGTGTGTGTGATTTAGTGTTGAGAGGGCCCAGGAGTTCATAATTTATGAGTTTGAACAGAAGAGCTGCAAAATTAATCTTCACAATAGCAACACCTGTTCTTCAACTCAGCTTTTAATAAATTGTATGTGGATAATATTTACCACATTCTTTGACTATTTTGAGATAATAGCAGCCAGGTGTAAAGCTAGTTTTCAGTGGTGGGAAAACTAACAATTGAAAAAGAGAAGCTATGTGAGTCACCTTGAGTTCTTTTAAATGAATACCTGCTGGTTAGTGTTCTCTAAGAAAAAAAAATTGGGATAACAGTTTCAAATGTAGTCAGATGTAAAAGTTGAAAGAGGCTATTTTCAAAGCCAGTGGTAGCTGAAAAGAATGGTGTCACTCTGGCATTCCAGCGTCTTCCAATAAACATCATTTGCAAAACACATAAGACATCACACATCTTTTCATATAGAGGTGAGATCTAAATTCTCAGTTCTTGTAAATCAGACCTTACTTTCTAAATACTTTAGGTTCTCTGACAGGTTTTTTAGAATTTATCCTTATCAGCAAGATCCAAAGATAGCTACAAGTCAATAATTTTTAAAGCTTCATGCAAATTATGTCAAAATTTGAAATCAAATAGGCACTTGTATAGCAGAGTATAAAGGATTACAGCTTAAAAGATTTGTTATGTTGCAGCAGAAAGGAAAAACTTTTAAGAAGCATTGTTGATTTTTTCAGCATACCCTTTACTTCCTCTTTATGTGCTTAATTAAGTTTGTGACCATATGTCAGACAGAGAAAGATGGGTGTATAATTTTCGCTTGAGAACAGGTCCTACAAAGACTGCTGGTTTGAAATTTCTAATGCATCACTAGCTTCCAAAAACCTTGAAAAGACAGACAGTCTTCTGGTGTAATTTAACCTACTATCTGTAGTCCCAACATGCCAAAAAGCCTGCGTCTGCTTTCTTGGGTGCCTAACTCAAGAAGTAACCCTCACAACGGATTCCCCAGGTCTCACAGTCTTCTACACAGAGGATCCCTACCTGCAGTCAGTCAATGTGTCAGATGTACGATAGGTGAATAACACAGACTCTCAGTGAACTTGCTACTTGGTTAATACATATTAAATATATATATATATATGCATATATACATTCCTTTGCCCTAATGCACTTAAGGCATGTCAGTTTCTGTAGTCATTGGCACACTGAGTGGTGTGGCTAAAAATTATTTTTTTCTT